TTTTTTTTTTTTTTTTTTAAATATTTTATTTATTTATTTGACAGAGATCACGAGTAGGCAGAGAGGCAGAGAGAGAAGAGAAAGCAGGCTCCCTGCAGAGCAGAGAGCCCCATGCTGAAACAAATATGGGAAACACGGATGTGATTCCTACATCTAGGTGGTAGATATGCAGTGATGTCATCTTCTGTATGTTTGAAACACTCGCACTTGGTAGAATCAGCAGAGACGCTCAGGAAGGTGAGGGGAGACCAGATGGAGTGAGAGCGGGGAGCTCGTGGCGGCCAGCGTGTCCCCTCTGGCTGTAACACCCCGATCTCCCATTCTCACTCGGAGTCTAGGGAGATTGAGTCAAGAACGGAACTCTTTTTTTTTTTTTTTAATATTTTATTTATTTATTTGACAGAGATCATGAGTAGGCAGAGAGGCAGAGAGAGAAGAGAAAGCAGGCTCCCTGCAGAGCAGAGAGCCCCACGCGGGGCTAGATCTCAGGACTCTGGGATCATGACCTGAGCTGAAGGCAGAGGTTTTAACCCACTGAGCCACCCAGGCGCCCCAAGAACGGAACTCTTTATCATTAGTTTAGTAGTTTGACCCAGTTGGTCCAAAATTATAGTGTAGAACACCACTGTGTACCATACAGGGTGAAGCAAGCGCTTTGTCTTGTTTACCCCATTGGGTTATAAGCTTTCCAGGACTGTTTGGTACTTGTCTTTTGCGTCCTTCAGCTGACCTAGAAAACTGTCTTCATGATAAAAGAGGAGACTACCAAGTTTTTACCAAACAGACCTCTTTGTAATATATCATAAATCCAGTTAAGAAGTTTCTCATGGAAGACCACTCTGTGGGATAGAAAAGCATCAACATTGATCCAAGCTAATGTGCGTCACAGGCGTCACCCTTTTCCTAGGAAACCGAGGAGGGTGGCAGGGGATCAGAGTCTTCCTGGGTGTGGTGTTTCCTGTGCTGGGACCCTGGATAAGCACTTCGGCATCCCTGCCACCTCTATGTCCATTTGTCCCTGTCTTTTAACATGTAAATTAAATACCACCCCTGGGAATCTTCTTTCATCTGCCTCATCCCATTAATTGCTGCTTCTTTTAAATTTAGGATGGCATTTTACCTTTTTAAAAAATACGGCATTGAGGTTACTTTTGTGAGTGATTTTTCTCCGTTAGTAGCCTGTGGTTTTCTTGAGAGCCAGATCTGACTTTTTCCTCTTTGTCTCCCATGTCTTAAATCGGCGTTTTGGGTATTGTGGGTGATCAGGTCATTCTGAAGTACATCTAGAGCATGCTGATGCCTTCCCTTCTTGGTTGCACGTGGCAGAGCAGAGCGGCTTGCCTTCACTCAGGTTCTGTCCTGGAGAGGCCTCGGGAGAAGTTCCCCGAAGGCCCAAGGAGAGAGCTGGGTCTCTTGGATCGATGTCGTCCTTACGGGCTTGGGCATGAAGGCCAATAATGTACAGTATTTGAGACTCAGAATTTGTGTAGCTCCGGGAAGCACCCCATTGAAGAGCAGGTGGGAATCTCTATAGGGATACTTCACTTGCTAATATTTCAGGTTCTTGCTAACGCACCAGCACATGAACTTATTTTCATAAAGCAAGTTGTAAAGCATGTGAGGTTTTCTGAAAGTTAAGCGGTGGCCTTAGTTCTTTGTTATCTGGCTTTTGTCATTTCTTGACAGACACCGAGCTCTTGTTTAACATTTTTATTATGTATGAATAATAGAGAACATATATTGAGGTTTCGTAGATGTAATTTTGTTAAATGTACATCATGTTAGATTTAAAAATGAGGGATTTATTTTGTCATTCATAAAGTTGTAATGCAGTGTGGAGAAACTATTTGTTAAAAGATAGCATCTACTTAACCTCCTTATTTATTTCTTGTAGGAGAAGGTTAGATCCACAATAAATACATGAACAAATAAGTAGATAGGGGAATTTATCTTGGAAATAAGATCCCTGTCATGGTTTTGAAATGTTAAATGCATGAAGACCTGTCAAAGAGATATACAGACATGATATTTTTTTACAGTGCATTTCGAAGTATTTAGTTATACTTGTCACTCTCTAGTACAGTGAGCAGTGATCAGATGATATCGTAATTTCAAATTCTGTCTCTGTTAATGGGTGTAAATAGAGTGTTTCTACACGTACATTGTATAGATGTATTAATTGGCAATTTTAATATTAACGAAGTACTTAAGATATTTTATATGACATTTCTTAAATATTTAGCAGTTTTTACTTCTGTAGCATTTGAGATCTACTATTAAAAAATGTTTACCTATAACAAATGAAGAAGGACTTTTACAAAAGCTAACTTCATAATTCACTTCCTAAGAATTTGTGAAGTTCTGATGATTAGTTTGTTAAGGTAATCTTTACTTCAAAATGAGAAAAGTTAATTATTTGGAGCTCAGGATTTCTTTTTCTACCCTTATGGGGTTAAGGAAATTTGTAAAATCATAGTTAAAGCCTTTATGGATAGAATGTGCATTTTTTGCATCTCCTTATTTATATCATAATTTAAAACGCACATATTATAATCCTATTTTTTAATTGCATTAATTTGCTAAAAGTATAGCGCAATTTTTGATTGTCAAAGCAGGCTGCCACAGTCTCTCTCCTTTGTGGCATAGTGCTTATCCACTTACTAAAATATTTTAATTTTGAATATTGGGTTTTAATTTGCTTTTATTTGACTGTTCATTATCCTAAATTAATTAGCTGGACATTATTAGTCACAGGCATTGCTTTAAACTAAATTGTATTAGAAATAAAAAGTAAATTTCGGTGATGATTTCATGAACGCAAGCAAAGAGGGACAGAAGCTCAACTAGAAGGAGGATTGAAGTTTTTTGTTTATGGTTCATATTGCCTTGATTACTGAAGGTATTTAAAGCTCTTGGCGAACTCTGGGGCTTTCATATATTCTGGTGTGAATACTGTTCTGTTATTTTCATTTTTTCTCATGCAGGAGATAACAGGTTTATTTTTTCTCAAAGGTTGTTTTATAAAAGTTAATAGTCATTATCTCGTTTTCATTCTCATCAGAGGAAACTTCTTTAACGTGTCCTTACGGTAACCCAAGAGGACACCTTGTTCAGGAGGCGCCTGGGCGTTTTCCTCCATCCCCGGGAGCCCCTCAGCGCGGGGCGGCCGGGCGCATGGCAGGAGCACTGCGTCTCCAGGCAGGACCCGGGCTCCCGCTGCAGCCGGCAGCCCCAGCCGCCTCTGCCTGGCAGAGAGCAGGGCTTGTCTGAGTAGTTTAGTATGGATAGCTTTTCATTTAGCCTTTGCTCTGACAGCCCCTGCCCTGGATAAGTGGTGTAGGCCTGTACAGGTGAAATCTATTCTCACATTTGCCTCAGGGGTGACTGGACTGTAACAGAATTTTTCAAACCCGTTGGGCCCAACCGCAAAGCAGAGAATAAATGGCTGACGTGCCAGGCCTCGACAGAAAAATCAATGCCTGGTTATACAGACATGACAGACCAGGCCTGCGGTTCTCCTCCCGGAGTCCGTGCACTTGCCGCATTTCAGGGTTAAAACATGCTCCTGTCTGGGGCCGGAGGTGATACCGGCTGCGTCATATTTACCTTGTTTTCTCTCTCCTTCGCGCAGGAAATTTACATGCCACTTATGTGATAGAAGTTTCACCGAGAAGTGGGCCCTGAACAACCACATGAAGCTCCACACGGGAGAGAAGCCATTTAAGTGTAGCTGGCCCACGTGCCATTACTCCTTCCTCACGGCCTCCGCCATGAAAGACCACTACCGGACGCACACAGGTGCGCAGCCCCACGCCCGTGTCCGGGGAGGCGGGGCGTGGGGGGTTGTGCAGTGTGACCGTGGGCGGTAATGAGCTCACCAGTGTCGGTAGAAATGGTTCCTCGTGTGAAGAGTTTGTCTGAAGACTGTGGTAATGATATATGAAAAGCCGTGGTCTCGTTTCATTGTTTTCCAGTGATCCTCCGGGTAGTTTTAAACTGACATTGTAATGCAAATGTGTGTACACACGTGTGTGCATGTGTTTGAATCAAAATAAGTTTCGTATTTAGAAGCTCATTCATGTTGTGTGTGTACACATACACGTATGTGTTTAAGCAGATCTTAAATGTAATCTTGATGGCAAATCATATGGGGTCAGTAAGTTTTCAGAGGTCTTGTAACTTGTTACTGATACAAACTCAGTGCCATAATATTTTTGAACATTATTAATTTTTTAAAGATTTTATTTATGTATTTGACAGAGCTCACAAGTAGGCAGAGAGGCAGGCAGAGACAGAAAGAGGAGGAAGCAGTCTCCCTGCTGAGCAGAGAGCCCGATGCAGGACTCGATCCCAGGACCCTGAGATCATGACTTGAGCTGAAGGCAGAGGCCCAACCCACTGAGCCACCCAGGCACCCATTTTTGAGCATTACTGATAAGTTTTGGCTTTATGTACCATTTAAAAAAATTTTAATGAAATTAATACTTCTAAGAGGAGAAGAGAGTATCAGATCCAAGAGTTTTTGATAATACAAAGAGAAGAATCTGAATTTAACTATTATAAATTTTTTAGATAATTATATATTTGAAAAGTACAATCCCACGTTTTACATGGCAATATTTAAAGGAGTGTACGGCATTTAAGCCAGTTGGTAGTAAGAGGCAGCATTCAGAGGACCTCACCGCTAGGTATGATACCGAGCTCTCCATCTGGGCCTTCATAAATGTATATCCCCTACTGCCCTGCTGGCACGTTCAGTGTTTATGGCAAGTTTTCCATTATCTGAGGACAGTGGCCCCTACACTCCTTACAGGCCTATAGTTGAGTGCTCGCCTTATCTTTCTGTGACTCTACTGCCGTGAGCTATTTGTTATTTTTGTGGTCTTCTTTCTCTTTACACCTCTGAAAGTATTTTGTTTCAAGGCAAAAGAATAATAAATTTTAATCAGCATTCCCAAATGTTCTTCTGATTGCCAAGAATCCTATATTATTGTTAGAAATTATAGGTTAAAAGTTCTTCTGAAGCAGTTTGTGGGAAGCCCAGGCCTCCTTAGCTTCCTTGACAAGGGCGGTGACGATTTAAGGTCCCCAGCCTGCCCTGAGAGATCACTTATATCGAACAGCAGATGAAAAGCCAGTGCAGATGTAATTTATCGTCGGCGTTTCCTTCTAAAGAATAATTGTGGAGACTTGGCTGGATCAATAATATGGATTTTTGTTGTTAGGTCTTGTAGTCTGCACCATAATGAGAGATAGGGGACAGTGGCTGTTTTCTAATAGAAAATAAAGGATTGGTTTCCGTGTCTTTCTACATTTGAATGCAAAATGGCACACTTGAAACTAATTCAAGTTGTTCAGAAAAGTCTCCTATTAGATTACTGTGATTATGTAAATATTGTATGTTAAGTGAACACCCTTTATGGGGTGAAATATTACACTTAGTTTTTTCTTCAAAATTTTTGTTTTGAAAAATATTCTGATGTCCACTATCCAAGCCTAATGCCTCTACCCCCTCAAAAAACAAACAAAACACAAGTGAAATCAAATTTAGAATGAAAAACAAATCAAGTCATCAGGTAAATGTGACATACAAATACATTGCAGGGTAACATCCAAACTAAAATTCTGCACTTCAAAAGATCGAGGTCACTAATGTATCTAGAATTGAATCACATTGAAAATTTATTAATAATTTTGTCTTTGTGCCTATACATATCTTCAAATAGGAAAGGGAATAAAACTTCATATATCTCTGCAGCATGTCGGCCTGTAAAGGGTATAAATCTCATGAGAATTTTTCTGTTTTTATGTTACAAGAAAGATGTAGGTCACAAAGAAGTTCATAAATGGGAGAAAGGAATCCCTGTCTTCCTGCATCTCAGAGTAATAAGGATCCTCTGTCTCACTAGAGTTTTCACTAGTTGGGTGGCACAGCCCTTCCACTACCACACCGCTCCGCACACACATGTGCTCTCAGGCATGCGTGGGGGAGACCGGGCACAGATGTGTGGCCGCACGTGCACGGGGGGTTCATGCCCACAGTGCCGTGCTGGGAAAGACATCTCGGGGAACAGCTTTGCCTCCACATAGCGTAGTATGTTAATATTAACGAGCAAATTATCTATGGGATTCTTAAAAAGTCTACTTTCAGTGTTATTTAATTGATAATATGGCTGGTTGGCAAGATTTATATTCCAAATTGATTAAATAATTAAATGAGTGATTATAATTAAACTTTATTCTTCACAGCCATCTACTTTATTTTTTTTTTTTTAATCTTGAGATGATGATGCCAAGGGACAAACTTAACCCCAAAATAGGAAAGCAAAGATAGGAAAAATATTTAAATTCAACTTTATTTCATAAATGATAACAGTGAACATTTTCATATACCTTCAGGAAATGAGATTATACATAATTTGCTTTAAAACTCTCTTCATTAATGCATGTTCATCTAGATGACAAAAGCTAATAATGCTCACAAGTGAAGGGGGGACTCTTTTTGGTCACTGAAGTTATTCTGCCTTCCTATATTTACTGTTTTTTTTCCTCTAACTTTACAAAGGCAGCCAGCATTTTCCAAATACATCAAGCTAAATTTCTGTTATGAAATGCCAAAATGTTTTAGAACAAAGCCAGCCGACTGGGGCAAAACCGTTGAAAGACTTGTTGCATTAAACATCTAGATGAGTAAAGTACATAAGAATAGATACAAATGATTTATTTTGTTTCTGGAAAAGTATTTTATAATTTCGCTGTATCGCTCCACGGTTAGCATTTTTATTCTCTTTTGCCCTTCCCTTTGAGCCTTGTGGGATAAACTGCCCAGCTTGGCAGTGCTTACTGCCTGAATATGCTGCTGGAAAAAAGATAGATTGCATTTTTACACTGTAGGGGAAGGTGTTCACTTGTGTAAAAATGCTGAAATAAAATGAGCATTTACACACTTTTAACAAATCCTGACTCTGCCAAATCTGTCTCTAATTGTTACAGAAGTATTCCGTCCAGGACTGTCATTAAAGATGAATAATTGAAGTTTTTCTACAATTTCTTTAGCAGTCCCTAGACTTGTTTTTTTATGCCATGCAAGTTTGAGAAACATAAACAGCACTGAATTGTTATTGGTGCTGAGTAATGTGGATTTTATTGTTACTTGGGATCTTCAGTGTGTGCGAGGAAACCATTTAATTCATATTATTAAGTAGGAAGTTATTAAAGAAGAACCTGATAGAATCAGGTAAAACCAATTCAATATCCTTCAGTTGTTGGAAAGTTCAATATGTTTTATTTAAGCAGAATCCTAGATACTGTATATTAACTATTCCAAGCAATCTTTACTCAGCTCAGAAAGGCCAGATGTATGGGAATTGTAAAAAATCAGGATATGCATAAAAACTGTTCAAGTGCATAAAGCAGCCCCATCTGGAAGACATCTACCAGAAATGAAGTTGTACAAAACCATTCCATTGATAATAAAGCTAATTTTTATGGGTCTGACAAGTATGTAATTATGTTCAGTGGTGCTTTTCAGATTTTATCACAGTCAATAAACCGCAGTGGTAATTTCATTCCCATTTGACATATTTACATGGAAACATTTGATTGGAGGAATTAGTAACCCTGAAAGCCTTGATAGATATGTTTTAATGATCTGTGACCTCCACAGTCCCTCATCTGTTTATTGTTGCAACAGGCGAGAAGTCGTTTCTGTGCGACCTCTGCGGCTTCGCTGGCGGGACTCGGCACGCGCTCACCAAGCACCGCCGCCAGCACACAGGTCAGTACGGCCGCCCGGTGCCCAGCACCCGCGCTCGGCCCTCCGTGGCATGCCTTGTCCCGTTTCTGTAACACCCCTGTGCTTGAGGGTCTGCTGAGGTTTCTACTTGAGTGACCTAAGATCTGGAGTCACCTATTTTTATATGTTTAAAAATTCGCCCTACTGCATGTTTTATAGGTTTAAAAAAGTCGCTCTACTGTGTGTATGTGCAGTGCAAATACATGGGACGTAGGAGGGGAGAGAGCTTTCTGCCACGTGCAGACACACCAGGCCCTCACTGCTGCTGAGACTTTGCCGTGGACGTGGTGGGTGAGGCTCTAGGCCGGCTGGCTCTCCGGCGCAGCCCTCTCCCCTCAGCGTCCCCACCTACTTCCTTACTCACCCCTGCCTCCTTAGTTGGCTCCTGGCTTATCCAGAGGGTCCCCCTCCACCCCGACCAGCTACTTTCTTGGCCCACCTATCCACCTGACCCTCCAGAGGCAGTCCCTTTGCGAGTTGGGACCAGTGGGCGCGGTTTTAGGTTCTTGCTGCTTCTGTTTTTCTTGCTCTGAAGAACGGAGAGCAAGTTGAGTAGACAGCGACACGGAGCAGCAGTCCTCTTTGCGATCCGCATCCTTAATGGTTCAACAAAATCAAGTAGGTGCCTCAGTTAGGAGCAGTTCAGAATGGAAAGTTTTAAATATTCATTAAAATTGATTACTTTGTTGGTCTTATAATTAATTATGTTAATAATTGTAAATTATACGTGCCTGGGACAGTGCTGTTAATGGCATTGTCCCTTCTAATTATTAACAGAACTGTTTTATTATCAAAAGTGACCTAGTTTAGATGATAAATCATGTGGTAACACAATCTGTCACTGAATGTTGGGCTTTTCCTTGGGGACCGTGACGGTGGGTGTTCGGCGGTCACACTCAGAGTGGCATGAAATGAAGACACACAAAATAGGTTGTTTGTGGGACATTTTGAATCTTGATATGTTATATTTAACCGCCATAGGTGGCTCCAGTGCCCATCATGGTATTTGTAAGATTAGTAAAAACTAATGCCAGTCTCTTCTTTCAGATCGTGAGTGTATGATTCAGGTCTCTGTATGGGGTAAGAGTTATTATCGAGGGTGGGGAAATTCCAGTGTTTAGCATGATGTTGGAAACTTACCCTCAATTCTGTAAATATGGAAGTCCCCTTTCAGTTTATAGGAGCAACCTGTGGCCACAACCCGTGAATCCAGGGAAAGGGAGTCGGGGTCAGGAGCGGCAGGAGAGGCCCAGTGGAACCCAGCCCTCCTCGACAGCTGTCTTGGAGAAGCTTGGAGTGGTGTGTGTGTGTGTGAACGTGTGCTCACGTGGAGTACTTTATTCTCAGCGTGTTCAGTGTATTGCTGCCGTGCGGTCCTTGTTGCTTGCCCGGTCGCTCCCTGCTGGGGCCCGGGACCCGGGACCCGCGGAGCCCCCTCTGCCACCTATGCCAACGCGGCAGAGCTCCCTCTTCCCCGGTGGTGAGGACCGTCGCGCTGTGATCACGGGCACTTACAGGTGATCGATCATGAAGCCAGCATCGAGCAGGCACAACTTTGTACTTTATGTCAGGTCCAGAGGCTCCTTATTACTTTGCTATTAACTTTATACCATATAGGACAGTGTCTCACAGACAGAGGCATCTGTCTTCGTGGCATTTATCTGCCTCTGTGGCACAAATCAAACATGATTCTTTAATACCAAAGTCAGTTCTGAAGACTGTTTGCTTCAACCAAACAGCTTAGTACAACTCAGTCTAGGCCCTTGGCTTTTATGCTGGATTTGTAATATTTAAGCAACATACAACTTGTTTTTTTCCCAAGGCCAGAATCATATGGTGCATTTGAAATCTATATTTCTCTGATGTATTCCTCTTCGACATGGTTTACCTTTTTACCACAGAGTGCCCACGCAAATCACAATCAGCTTGGAAAGGGATAGGTATCAAAAGTGTTCCAAATGGCGTAAATAATTCCCTCCTGCAATACAGACTGTCTAGGGGGCTGACACAAAACATCTTCCATTCCAAGATTTACTTTTATCACCTGTCAGAGACCCTTGATTCAAGGGCACAGGAGCAGATCCTCACGTGTAGCTGAAGGGTCTTGGCCAGTTTAATAACCAGCAGCCTGCCCAAAGGAATGCGAAGTGTGAGTTTCCATGAGAAGTGTGCAGCCCTTTTGACAGATCGTTGACACACAAAGGGCACTGCTCTATATCCATAGCCATTCTGGCATCCCCTCCCCCACCCTGACTTTCTTTACTTTTCTATCAGAGCTACCTGAGATGCAGAACATTTCTTAATGATTATTTTGGCCAAGATTATTGTTCATAAAGGAGAGTGTGAAGAGCAACACGATTTAATATGCACTGTTATATCACATAAAGGAGAATAGGAGGAAAGGAAGGCCGCCTTTGTTCTGCTTTTTTGAGTAGGGTGGATGCAGGTGGCCCTGCTGACTTGCAGGTAGCACAGCTGAAGAGTAGGGAAATGCCTCACGCCTGGATCGACTCATCTTTCTGCTGTTGGAATGGCGGAGGTTTCAGAAGGGCTGTTCCCGGTGCACTGTCATTTTGATCAGTCCTTAACAAGTGTATGCACCCCTTCATATAGTACCTGTCTCAGTTCAAGCATGGACAAATATTAGCAAACTGGAATTCTTATTTAAAATTTGTGTGTGTGTGTGTGTGTGTGTGTGTGTATACACTTTTTTTTTTTTTTTTTCAAATTTTACAACCTAAAAAGTGAGTTTATTTCTTGGGCTATGTATTGAGCCTAACAAACACAAAAACTACTTCTGTGTTTCTGAAGTATAGTTCCCTGAAAAAATTACTTGAAGAAATTTCCTGAAATTACCTGAAGAAATTATCATATGTGGATGAAAAAAAAAAATTTAAACAGTAGCATTGGGCATGTAACAAAATGAATGAGTTATAAACTAACTGTTATGCACAGATTTGATTAAACTGTACTTTGTAAAAATTGACATGGCTTTCTTCCCCTTCTGGGAACCTATACATACATACTTGAGCCTTCCTTTACTTAGTGCTTATAGTATAGGATTTTTATGTTGCATATTTTGGTAGCATTATATATTTTTTTCTGTCAACCTGCATATAATTCAAAATTTCTTAGTGTTACACAATTTAATCCACAGTGTTGTCAAGTATGAAATGATAACTTATAGTTCCTTACAATATAATGCTACCCTAATGTCAACTCCAAATTAGTAGAATTATAGAGAAAATAAATGACATTATTCTTTAAAAGTGTTTTTTAAGTTTCAATTGTGTCATATAAAAACGTCATAAAAATTTAGACGAAATAAGCTATGTTAACTTTGTTTTTTAAGTGCTTATGTTAAATCTCTAAACTAAGAAAATTAACTTTGAAGATCTTAAATGACCTTTCATTTACACTGCTAACTCAGACAATGAGTCCATAATGTCACCTTCTATCCTCTCCAGATTCCTGCCAAATCCATGAAAAATGGATAGATTAAAGATGCCTACCCCAAGGCTATTTGAATAAACAATTTAGCAGTGAGTTGCGACATGACACATTTTCAAACACTAGTTTGAATGGAATAAGGAGACATCAGGATATAGTTGTCTACTTGCTTAATGAAAAAAACATCTTTTATTGTTTGACTACTTAGATTCATTATTTTAAGAGTGGAAGATTTGTACTACCTAACTTGACCTCTTATTATGTAGCTACAGTAGTCATGACCGTATCGTATTGGCCTGAAGTTACACAGATATATCAGCGGAACAGGATAGATCCATGCCTGTAGTTGTCAGTTGTTTGTGACCAAGGTATATGTAGAGAGAAAACTAACAAAGGATGTGCAAAACCCCTACACTGGAAACTGCAAAAAATTGCCAAGAGAAATCAAAGAACCTAAATAGAATGACATACCATGTTCATGGACTCAAAAGATTCAGATCCCATCAAGCCTTCTTGTTGGTGTTAAAAAATTGACAAGCTCATTTTAAAATTCAAACAGAAATGCAACGATCCAGTGTTTGCTTCAGCAGCACATATACTAAAATTGGAAATGCAACTATCTGAAAGAGTTTTGAGGACGATGAACAAACCTGGCCTCATGACTTACCATAAGGCTACAGTTATCAAGTCACTCTGGTATTGGCATCAGGAAGACACATCTATCAGTGGAATGGGGCAGAAATTATAGAACAGACCTACGTCTGTATGGTCAATGGATTTTTGACAAAGGAACAAAGACAATGTAGTCTTTTTAATATATAATGCTTGACTAATTGGATATATGTATGCAGTAAAAATGAACTTTGATCTGTATATCATATCATGTATAACATTAACTCCAAACTGTTCTAAATAAAAAATTGAGAACTATATAAATTCTAGAAGAAAATTTAGAAGAAAAATCTTTTTGACCATAGATTAGCAAAGATTTCTTAGATACCACATCAGAAGCCTGATTTTTAATTAGAAAAAAAAAAAAGTAACTTGAAAAATTATCAACTGACAAACTAAAAACTTTATATACTAGTTAGCTACTCCCCTATGGAAAGACACTGTGAAGAGAATGAATGTGAAAACAAACCAAAGACTGGGGAAAAATATGTGTAAATCACAAATCTTATTGAGGATTTGTATTTGTAATGTATAAAGAAGTCCCAAAATAAAAGAAAACAAACAACTAAAAGGGGGTTGAATGATTTGAACAGACATGTCACCAAAGGATATAAATGTATGGCAGATAAGCACATGAAATGATTCTCAACATCATTAGAAAAATACAAACTGAAAGCACTGACCATACCAAGTATTGGTGAGGATTTGGAGCAGTGGATACTTTCCTCTACTGCTGGTAGGAATGTAAAATGGTCAGACCACTCTGGAAAAAGGTTAGTAGTTCTTACAAAGTTATTATGTACCTACCAAATGACCCGGCCAACCCATTCCTAGATGTTTTCCCAAGAGAAAAAGAGATACACGTCCATGCATAGACTTGCACATAAAGATTTGTAGCAGCTTAGTTTGTAACACCCCAAAATGCAAATAATTCAAGTGTCCTTCAGTTGGTGGATGGATAAACAAACTGTGGTACATTCATATCATGGAATGCTACTCCTCCGCTTGTAATAAAAAAACAAATATTTACGCTCGGAGCAACATGAATGAGTCGCAAAATAATGCTGATACAAGGTCAGACAAAAGAGAGTACATACTCTATGTATAGAAATCTCTAGAAAATGCTAACTAATATATAGCAACAGAAAGCAGATGAGAGTTTGTTTGAGGGTGGAATGAGCCAGAGAGAGAAAGGGACCTTTGGGGGTGGTGGCTGTGTTCATTGTCTTGAATGTGGTGGTAGTTTCAGTCTACCTTGTATGGTCAGTATAGCTACATCAAGTTAGTGAAACAGTTAATAATGCGTGTGGTTTTATCCAGATGAGTGCATCACTTTGTGTTCCTATTGTCCATGTGAACTGCTCTGTGACGTTGGTGTGTAGCTAAAATAGTCTTGCAGTTCAGTTCTCATAATGAATGGAGTTTTCAGATATGCTTCCCTGAGGATGTTTGTGTCTTTATGATATAGCATATTTCTATATCAAATTTGAAGACACAAGAGACATTTTCTTCAGCCTCGGCAAGAGGAAGATCATCTGCTGTCTCAAACAAAAGCAAAATCCATCATCATCACGAAAGGGAGTTTTTGTATAAGTTCAGTGTAGTTGTCTATACCAATGTAAGTGCCTTGACCAGCAGTTTAGAGACCGTGAAAAAAGTTATTCCAGTTGACCCTGAGTGATCGCTCAGTTGTGTTATAGATGGGATTTATCTTGAGAATAAATGGCTGAAAGGTACAGATATGCCTCTCAACTCCCAAGATTTTACTCTGCTTTGCATATGTTCTTATTTTTACAAAAATAAATCAAGTATTTCCTTGTAGGTTCTATTAAATGGTTTCTCTATGTTAAATTCACTGTGAGAAACCACATAATTGTTTTGTATATAAAAAGGTTTGTCTAAAAAAAAAAAAAAGTTTGTCTTTTTACTGTTTTGGAGAGCTTGATGAGAAGCATGGGGGTGTGCCCCTTCTTTCATCTCCGTGGGAGGGTAGTGTGCCCGTACCTGTGTTCAGCCACTCCAGGCACTCAGGCCACAGAAGCAGTGAGGCATTGGACCCTCTGAGAAGTACCTTGCATGTGCTTTGTCTTCTCTAATCCTCATAACTGTCCTGCTGTCCTGCTTGTTCTGTGGTTTTACCCTTCTGATCTTGTCCAGGGGGTTGACAGGTATGAGTGAAATATGGCAAAACCTGGACTGGGACTGAAGGCCATCTGGCTTCTTCCAGCCGCCGCCCGGCCTGCAGTGGTAGGTAGGACGCCATCTGCTGAGATGTGAATGTATTCAGCTAACTGCCACATAAATAGGACAAGACTCTAAACATTCTAGTTTTCAGGACAGGTGTAGTCTTGTTGCTAGTGGAATTGATGTAGAGTAATTTTATACCAAGGTAGTTCATCCTTTGTTTTCTACATAAGTCAGTATACTTGTAAAACTATTAAAATAAACACCAGAATTAAGATGTGGCAAGTAGAATTTTGCACATACATAAAATTAATCTGTGTGTAAAACTTCTCAGAAAGAACGTTTGCTGAGAGGAGTATTTTTGTATATTATAAATAATTTGGGGGAGGAGGTGGTTGTGAAGTTTTCTCTAGTCATTGCTGTCCAACAGAAATGTCATGGAAGCTACACTTGTCATTTTAGGCTTCCTGGCAACCATGTTAAAAAAAAACAAAAACAAAAGAGTAACAGGTGAATTGCTTTTTTAAATAGTGAACGAAATGTCTATTCATGTCTCCTGCCCATTTTTTACCTGGATTATTTTTTGGGTGTTGAGTTTTATAGGTTCTTTATGTATCTTGGACACTAACTCTCTATCAGATGTATCATTTGCAGATCCCCCATTCCAAAGGTCACCTTTTAGTTGTTGATTGTGTTGATTATGAAGTTCCAAATAATTTATTTTTGCTTTGGTTTCCCTTTCCTCTAGAGACATACTTAGTTAAGGAGTTGCTATCGCCAGTGTCCAAGAGGTTACTGCCTGTGTTCTCCTCTAGGATTCTGATGGTTTCCTGTCTAACATTTAGGTCTTTCATCCATTTTGAATTTATTTCTATGTATAGTATAAGGAAGTGGTCCAGTTTCATTCTTTTGCATGGAGCCGTCTAATTTCCCAGCACCATTTGTTGAAGAGACTGTCTTTTTTCTAGTGGATGTTCTTTCCTGCTCTGTCAAAGATTAGTCAACCATACAGTTGTAGGTCCATTTCTAGATTTTGTATTATGTTCCATTGACCTGTATGTCTGTTTTTATGCCAGTATCATCGTGTCTTGATCACTACAGCTTTGTAATGTAACTTAAAGTCTAGAATTGTGATGCCTCCAGCTCTACTTTTCTTTTCCAAGATTGCTTTGGTGATTCGGGGTCTTTTATGGTTCCATACAAATTCAGAAGACATGAGTAGACACTTCTCCAGAGAAGACATCCAGAAGGCTAAGAGATACATATAAAGATGCTCAACATCATTCATCATCAAGGAAATACAAATCAGAACTATAATGAGATACCACCTCACACCTATTGGAATGGCTAAAATTAACAGCACTGGAAACAACAGATATTGGCTAGGATGCGGAGAAAGGGGAGCCCTCTTAACCCTGCTGGTAGGAATGCAAACTGGTGCAGCCACTCTGGAACACATTATGGAGGTTCCTCAAAAATTAAAAATAGAACTCCCCTATGATCTAGCAATTGGACTAGTAGGTGATTCAAAACCACCTAGTACAAAGGGTACAAATATGGTACAAAAATGGGTACAAAGGGTGCAAAATGCTGATTCAAAGGGACATGGTGGGTAGCATTATCAACAAGAGCCAGATTATGGAAAAAGCCCAAATGGCCAATCAGCTGATGAATGGATAAAGATGTGGTGTGTATTCCTATATATACATAAATACATATGTATATATAAGAATATTATTCAGCCATCAAAATGGATGAAATCTTGCCATTTGCAGCAGCGTGGATAGAGCTAGAGTGTATTACGCTAATCAAAATAAGTCAGAGAAAGAAAAATACCATATGATTTCACTAATAGATGGAATTTAAGAAGAAAAATAGATGAACATGGGGGAACAAAAAAGAGAGAGGCAAACTTTATATAGTCTCAACTACAGAGAATGAACTGAAGGTTCCTGGAGGAGAGCTGGGGGGATTGGGGTTGTGGGAAATAGGTGATGGGAGTTAAGGGGAGTGAACTTGTAATGATGAGCACTGGGTCTTGTATGTAGGTGGTGAATAACTAAATTCTACTCCTAAGACTTATATCACACACTATGTTAATTAACTGGAACGCCAATAAAAGCTCAAAATAAAAACAAACAAACAAAAAAAGTTACACAAATACATAAAATTATTTTCATTTCCAACATGAAATCAATATAAATTATTTTTTTTTTTTTGTTCTGGGATGTTGAAATTTGGAGTGCATTTTATACTTCTAGCACATCTCAATTCAGAGGCTAAATTTTTATATCTAATCCGTGATTGATATTTAGATTTGATAAAATTTATACTTAAAAAGTAGATTCACATTCCCAAGATATTCTCTACAGACATTTTTTTTTTTTACATAGGTAAATCCCATATCAGTTTTTTAAATTTAAAACTTACACTGAGTGAAATAGCCGTATTTCAAGTACTTACCAGCCAGTATGGCTAATACAATTAAAAACTGAGATTTGATGATTTCTTTGAATGTGTGTGTGCACAGGGGGAGTGGTTAGTGCAGAGAAAGGTGTCAGTCAGAGGACTAACCGCGCAAGCCTGAGCCAGCTGACTGGTGAAATGCGCATGTGGGTAGTGGTTAGATCCATCCGGGGGACACTGTGAAATAGTATTGCACGTGTTTCTTTGAGGCCTTTTTTTCGTGACCTCTTACTCACCTGTAGTGAATTGTAAATTTTCCTTACCTCAAACAGTTTTTTCATTGGTATCTAATTAGAGCTTTATTTTTTTCTTCATATTTAACTTTAAGATTTTATACAGTATATTCAAAGAATATCTCTATTCTATGATTTTTCATGCTTTTATCCTCAGGGAGATTTTTATAATGGCTCTAGTGTAACATAGTTTGTCAAATGACTCCAAATGCAGTGCTCGACCAGGCTTTTGTGTAAGTTACATTTGAGCGCCATAATACGTACCTTACCTCCATTCAAATATAGAAGTAAAAATCAATGGTGTCTTCCAAGTTTCTCACTTGGGGAGTGAATATTCAGGTGTCCTAAATGTGAGTAGCCCATTGAACTATATTCTTAAATGTTTATGGAAGTAAGTTTCTTTTTAATTGTTAGTAACAGGTTTGGCCCTTCATTTCCAGTTTTTATAATTATTCATGCCTAGCACTGCTTTATATTTTGCAGGAGAAAAACCTTTCAAATGTGATGAGTGTAGCTTTGCCTCCACAACCCAGTCTCATCTGACTCGGCACAAGCGGGTGCACACGGGAGAGAAGCCCTACAGGTGCCCCTGGTGTGACTACAGGTAAGGGTTCGTTACCAAGCAGGTGGAGTCAGTGGCTGTCGCGTTGTGTTCACAGGAAGGAATCGCTCTTCTGATGTACGCGAATTAGCACAACGTAAAGCAGGATTCACTTACTAGGTCGGGAATTTATTTCACCATCCAATTTTAGTGACTGTTTTTTTAAAATTGTGAAGTTCTTTTCCATTTTTTATAATCTTAACACTTCGGGTTTGTAATCCTTTATACACCTGAATGTCAGGTGATTTTATTTCTTGGCCAGAGTAAGGGACCGTCCCATTTCATGAGTTATTCCATGCATGTGGCCCTCGTCTACACAGAGTGAAGCACTTTTAGGCAATGAAGACAATGCAAGAAATGTTTCCTGCCTTGAAGGACGTTGAGGCATAATAGGTGACTAGTAGTGCCTCTAAAGAGTTATAATACAGAATTAGTCAGGAAAGAAAAAGGCCAGGAGTGTCCATAGGAAGAAACCAGTCCAGCCACCTGGACTTCCTCCTAGTGGAGACAGCATTTCAGCCGGTGCTTAAGAGATGAGGAAATGTCCACGACCTGGGCGCAGGAGGTAATGGTGTGCTGTAGCATTTTCGGGCCGACAGTGTGATCCAGATCACATGTGCTCAGCCCGTTCCCTGCAATCCTTGGTGGCTAAGGGATGTCTGCCACACTGCAGAGTCAGCCTTGCGGCCACAGCAAAACATAGGTGCCAGAAGTTCAAGACGTGGTCAGGCAGTGGTAAATAATCCCGTTTCACCCTGTGTTGAAGTGTGTGTGGAGGGTGCAGATGAAAATTAAAATGGGAACTGGACATTGCAGCCAGATCGTGCTATACCTGCAGCCTATGAGAGTGAATTCAGAGCACGTTAGATGGTTTGTTGGACACCGCAGAGTCTGCAGGCAGCCAGGTGACATCTGTCTTGGGGGCTTCATCAGCCACACTGTGCAGTCTGAGTCTCTGTGTGAGGGCCTTCTCCATTCTGGAGCTGAAGATCTTATGGACCCCATTACACATGACGACACAGGGCCGTGGAGGGGGGTCCTTTCAACACAGCCCGCTACTGTTAAACGTTAGGATCTATATATACCTTAAGCCTGAAGCCTTTGTTAAAAAAGACATGCTTGTATTCCTGTGGATTCCTGTAGCCTGTGTATTCAGTAAATAGATTGCCATAATCTCTATTATTATCCTCATTATTGCAGTAAGTTTTATGTTAAAGGTCATTTAATACTACAGAGATATTACAGATATATTTCATTCATTAATTATTCATTCATTCAACATTTTATGAGTTCTGTCTTTGCTTAGCACTAGATTGGTGTTTCTGGGAAATTTGGTAAAATGGTGATCCAATTAGAGGTGGACATAGAGATTTTAAGGTGTTGATATGAGTTCTTTAAAAAATAAACAGTTTGAATATTCTTTTCCATACTGAAGAGGTCATACTGTATAGTTGCCTTCTCCGTAAAATGCAGAAAAGCAATTAGAGAAATTGTAAAAATTTCTCCTAATTATCTCTTTAAGCTCAGGATTATACCCTTTCGGTCTATATTGTGTGCATTAGATTTGAGTTGTGGTTCTGAGGGATTTTTTTATTTCTTTTAAATTTTAGTTTTCATACTTAACAAATTGGGACCACCTTTCCATTTTGTTAATTTTGTGTAACTGTGGTTTTCAAACTGTTGTTTTAAAAGTAGCAGAACTGTTGTTTCAAACAGGATCATTTCCACACCCCTATATAAAATATATAAAAGTGTTTTTTACTGCTTAAAAGTGAATTTCTTAGGTAACATCTGTAATATTTACTCATAATATTAAGAAATAATTATATGATGCTGTTTTGACAGGAAAAATTTTTCCAATGGGGAAGCTATTGATCAGAATAGCTGTTGAGTTAGCCCTGGCGTCCGATCCGTGTCCTTGTTCTGGGGTAAGCAGGAGGCTGTGTAGCGAAGGGCTCAGGCTGTGCAGGAGCTGACCCAGTGGGCTCTGCCATCTTAACCTCTCGTGAAATACGGGCGGCGAGAGGAGCAGCCTTCCGGGAGCCTCGCTCACGTTAGAGGAGGAGCGCGGCCTGGCAGAGACACGGGGGCCCTGGGTTTCCTCTCAGACTGTCCCTTGGATGGTTACAGGTGTTGCTGCACCTTGTGACCTCAGGATAGTGTTCAGTGCAAGAGTGTCAGTGCCCTGAAGGTCTTCCGTTTTTTGAAGTTTATTTATAATGCGTGCCCTGATGGACTTTCCCCCCAGTTTTTGAAGTTGTTAAAAATACATTAAACCCAGCATCGTCTGTTACATAGTCACTGACATGCCGTAGAGCTCTGAATGCCTCACTTGAGGACCGCTCGTCTCCAGTGCATTCTGATGCTTGCATGGCTTCAAGTTAGATGGATAAACAGTAGTCACTTCATGAGGTTTTTTAGACATTTGGGCCATTTTTAGGCATTTTCATTTGAAAATGCTTACTCCTAAATCTCTGTGCATATCCATGATTTTTTGCAAAAGAAATTCCTAGAAGTATGACTTAATGGCTTTTAATACTATTAAATTTAGCTTATTTAATAGTATTACTATTATTATTAATTATTATAGTATTACTACAAAGATAGGGGTTAGAATATTGTCTCATCGGTAAGTACTGCGTTTTGGTAAACTTAGTCTTCGTGTGCCTAAACATTTCAAAATATTTCAGGCTTTCTTGGTTTGAAATCGTATTATGCTTTTGCTGAGGTTAAGGTTGTGTTCCCTGCCTTGTATGCACACTGTCTCCCTGACACAGCGTCACGTCCGTTCAGAAGGGCATCGAAGGTAGCTGGGTTCCATCCCTGCGACGCCTCCGACAGCCACTGTGGGTAAAAGGAGATTGTGTTTTCCAAGAATATTGCCACTGCCCTATGAATTAATACTCAGGACACTTACATCTCATGATGTCTGTCAAATTTTCTTTTGAAATGTTTGAAATTCTTGATAAAAGGTTGGTTTTATCTTTCTTTAGAAGTTTTTGGAAATTTGATTATTTTTGACAGTTAACAGTTTGAACACTTGTTATTCATGTAACAGGCCCGTGTACATGTAGTTAGGTCTGTTTACTCGTGAACAAAGATAAGTTGACCTTGCTTAGGAATACCAAGCCTTGCAGGTACATGAATAGCAATGTTAGGAACTATGAATGAAATGATACCTTTGTATCATTTCATTCATACCTTTGTATCAAACAGATACCTTTGTTTTCTTGTTGATGAGCAAAAGATTTAAAAATGAGCAGAGAAGTTTACAACGATCGTCTTGGTTGCATAGTGTAATAAGAAAATGCTTTTATCATGTCTGCCTTATAACAACAAGGAGAATATCTTTTTCCTTTTTTGAGTATGTGTGACTTCCATGGAATAAAAATATTCATAAGATGATCAGATATTTCTTAAGATGATGTGGTTATATTTGTCCAATTGATATTTTTCTATTTTTTGCTTTAAAACACTTTAACTTTTTTCCCATTTAGATTTTTATTTGTTGTTAATATAGATATATAAAAATTATTCCCATAGAGTATTCCCGTATTTGTCATTATTAACACTTATTTGCAGGTAAGTTTACCATCATTAGAAACTGAAATATTACTTAAGTTTCACTTGAAAATATATTTTTCATTTTATAAATTGAACATTAGTGAAGAAATACTTGTAGTTATAATTATTCATGAAAAATGTGAATATAGACTTGTTTACAAAAGAATTTTATAATTGGTCTTTTGAACCTGGGGCAATTTTTCAAGTTTGCATTATTAATTTAGGCAATGACATCTCATTCTATTCAGATATAAACATGTACCCCTTTTCCTGAGCTTTTGCTGTCTAAAATATCCAAAAGTCTCATCTGTTACAAATCCGTATATTCCATCACTACTCTATAACTTTTTCACCATTAATTACTATTCATTACAATTTCAGAGCATAAATTTAGATTCATAGCACACTGTCCTGCCATATTATCTGTGCAGCAAATCTTTAGGATTGTTTCTACATTAAAATGGAAACAGTCCGGCATTTTTCTGTATTCTTATTTCCCTTTGTTATATATTGTCACTTCTATGTTACAAAATAGAAAACCTTTAAAACGTTATGTAAGCACCCTTTCTAAAAATGTAAATCCTTATTTCCCCATAGAATTTATTAGCATCAAACTGTATTCTGTTTCACTAGTGACACTGGCTCTCACAACAAAATCGATGGCTACACTCGGCCTCTCTTTTACGTGAAACTCCTCTTCTAATTGCCCTCCATTTTTTATTTAGGATTTATGGGAGAATACAATAGATGTGTTTTAAACAGTAAACCTTCTAAGTCATGAGAAAACAAAAAAAAGACACAGTGCTACCTGCAGTATTAAAAATACTAAGGATAATCATATGTTATACCTTAAATGTCATTTAGCAAATTAAAGAAAGCTAAAATTTCGAGTCAGACTCTGGCAATTTGGTCACTTACATTCTGTGTCCCTGTTGTGGATGTCGGAATAGTGTGCGTGTTCCCCCAAGATTGCTTTTGGCCAGAGTTTTCCTCAGCTGTACAACTGCCTTTGTACCTTCAGTCTTCCACACAGTCTTAAAAAAATTTTTTTTACTATTCCATTTTTCATTTTATTTACTATTTTTGTATTTTTAAATTACTTGTTGTTATAACCCCAATAGAAATATCACGGTATCATTGATCTTTGGAATAAAATCTGCAATTCCTGCTTCATGGGAAAGATTCACTCCATTGTTCACTAAAGTTGTAGGAAATACACTCTGATTCCCCCCCACACACACTTGTTAGTTTCCTTAGCTCTTGGCCGGTGTAGTCCATACGAGTCACTAATACATAAGGTTTTGCTCTCAAGAAAATTTTTCTTTCCTGTCTGAGTGAGAGGGAGGCTAAGAATATTTGATGTAACATTTAACTGAAGAAGTGATATCGCAACTAGAAATGGGTTTTTTGTGATACTCCTTCATGTTTCTCTATTGCTA